CGGCTGCTCAGCTCAGGCTGGACTCGAACCGCTGTTGCTCAGAGCTCAAACTCTTGAGCGAGCTCTTAACCAACTGAGCCATTCGGCCGGCCCTTAGAAGGCATTTTCTTATATAGCATTCTGGCAACTGTTCTGGTGCATGCCTCTTCACTTTCTGATGTTAAAGCATTATTAAATATGATTTGTCATCCTTCTTTCTCTGCATGCAAGGGTGCCAGTGGGTAGACTGGGTGGACATAACACATACTACCAACATATTGGATTTATATACTATTGTAGGGAAGTTCCCCATGTGTCTAGGTTAAATGAATGTAATGCTTTATACATATTTTTCTGCAATGATCTACAAAAATATTCCTTATAGATATTAATTATCATTAGTATAGAACAATAATATCATATTGATATTATTATCATTAATAATGTTATGAACACAGATTTGAGACAATGCTGTTATACCATATACAAAGTGTTAAAATAAGTACATTATCTTGAAATTCAGGGTGGATCACCAATTTAGACTTGCAAGACACTAAAGATTCTGAAGAATTTAATAAGAACTTCATCAGCATCTATTGAAAGTATCTTTCACTTTCAAGTTTAGCCATTCATATAACAAATTAAACAGAAATTGGACTCTGAGCTTCTGACAGTAGTTATGTATGAGAAATGCCACCTTAGGGCGGGTTAGAATAAGGCTCTACAGTGAGCCCATCTGAGCACAAATATTAGGGATTAATTGCTGAATACATGGCTTACATTGAATCATGAAAAATAAAATTTTTCCTTTATTCTAATTTACGATTTGGTTTCCATAAGATTTCTTTCCCTCTTCTTAGTCCCTTATTGCTATGCCGATCCTCTTAGAAGTCATAAAATATTGATGACATGTATGTGAAGTATGAGTAAAACTGTTATCATAACATTTAGTTCCTATATCAGGAAGGTAAAATTTGGAAAATTATTTACTTTTCTGTTTATCAGAAAGAATCTCAGGATGGAGGGTTTTTTAGTCAATTTATATAATTATCTAGTTTGTGGATTATTTCTCTGGTACTTAATTTGCAAATTTCTTACAGACTGAATGAAATCTATTGTGTTGTTAATTGGACAGCAATACAAAAAGAAGTAAATATTTCATTTACCCATTTTGCTACAGGATAATGGTACTAATAAGATTTCATAATAAATCATTGATTACAATTCTTAGATGAGAGAACAGTCCTGTAGAAAGAGAAAATTTTACTTTGCTTGGTTTCTCTTTGCCAACTCTATGAGTGTCCCACAGAAATTTTACTACATTTCTTTTTTGATGTTTGTTTTCAGGATATGCAATAATTTTAAAATATGTTGTTTCCAGATTTTACACTAGTTGTTAATATTTATTTTATATTTTTGCAAGCAGTGAGAAGGCTGGATTTGTGATTAAGCATTGAAAAACCAAGTCAGTAAATATTGATTCAATATTTAGTTATCAGAAAGATGACCAGTTAAATACAGAACTTACTGATTACATGTCAGATTTAGAAAAAAGACAATGGAAGACATGCCACTTATGACATCTTCTTACTAACCCCATTCTCATCCCTTTCTGGGTGGGAAGTTTACCTACTTGGCCAGTTGAGAGGTCTCTGGGTGAAAGGTGGAGAGGACAATAGAAAAACCAGGAGGAAAGTCATCTTTAGCTACTGAAAAGGGAGAAGGTAGTATCTAGAGAGAAGAATAGAAATACAAGGTGTGAAGAAGTTGGAGAAATTTGGCAAATGAGGAAAAAAAAATGAGTACAAAAACCCAGCATCTTGGGAGAATTGGAAAGCCATGTGCAAAAGAATAAAACTAAACAGCTATCTGCCACCATATACCAAAATTAATTCAAAATGAATCAAAGACCTAAACATAAGAACTGCAGCAATAAACTGCACAGAAGAAAACATAGGGACTAAACTTATGGATCTTGAGTTCAAAGAGGATCTTATGAGTTTGACCTCGAAGGCAAGGGAAGTAAAAGCTAAAATAAATGAATGGGACTATCTCAAACTAAAAAGCTTCTACACAGCAGAAGAAACCATCGACAAAATAAAGAGGCAACTAACCAAATGGGAGAAGATTTTTGCAAACAACACCTCCAATACGGGGCTAATATTCAAAATATATAAGGAACTCATACAACTCAGCATATTGGATTTAGGGCCCACCTTAATCCAGTAAGACCTCATTTTAATTTGATTAAATCTGCAAAGACTATTTCCAAATAAAATCACATTCATAGAATCAGATGGACATGAATCTTTGGGGGCTCTATTCAACCCAGTATAATGATATTAGATTACAACTTCAAGTATGAAAGAAATACATATACATGTACATATACATATACATATATATGAATATATATATATATATATATATATATATATATATATATATGAATGTATAAATACATACTGATAAAAACAAAAAATAAAATAAATATATGGGAGAGAGGATTCGGATGCTACTCACAAATGAATTCCAAATATATATGTAGATACCCCCCTCTAGAGGAGGTGGAGCTTATTTTCTCAACTTCCTCCTGTATTACCACACACACACACACACACACACACACACGTACACTCTCTGAGTGTGTACTGGATTTAGTGACTTACATCAAAGAATAGAGTATGGAAATAGAAAAACTAGTAACTTTATAACGCAGAAAACAGAATGTCCCTTCATGTGGCATATTTCACCTCTTGCCTCTGGCAACCACCATATATGAGCTTCAGTTTTATGTATTTATTTATTTTTAGATTCCACATATAAGGGAGATTATATGGTATTGGTTTTTTTTCTGTTTGACTTATTTCAGTTAGCATAATGTCCTCAAGGTCCATACACGTTGTCACAAATGGTGAGATTTCATTCTTTTTTATGGCGGAATGTTCTCTCTTCATGTATCTATCTCTAGCTATCTATAGATAGATAGATATACACACACACAATTATATATACACAATTTCTTTTTTGATTTATCCATTGATGGACACTTGAGTTGTTTCCATATCTTGGCTATTGTAATTAATGCTGTAATAAACATGAGGGTGCATGTAACTTTTCAAGTTGGTGTTTTCATTTTTTTTTGGAGGGGGGTGGTAAATAGCCAAAAGTGGAACTGCTAAATCATAAGGTAATTCTCTTTTAACTTGTTGAGTAACTTTCATTCTGTTTTCCACAATGGCTGCACCAATTTACATTCTCACCAACAGTGCAGAAAGATTTCCTTTTCTCCTCATCCTTGCCAATATTTATATCTTGCCTTTTTTGATAAATAGCCATTCTAACAGGTGTGAGGTTGTATCTCATTATGATTTTGATTTGCATTTTCCTGATGACCAGTGATGTAGAGCATCTTTTCATGTTCCAAATGGCCATCTGTATGTCTTCTTTGGAAAACTATCTATTCAGATCTTTCTGCTCATTTTTAATTGGATTTTTTTTTGGCTAATTCAGCTGTATGAGTTCTTTATATACTTTGGATATTAGCCCCTTATTATTAGATACATGATTTGAAAATCTTTTCTTCCATTCAGTAGGCTGACTTGTTTTTATTGATGGGTTCCTTTGCTGTGCAGAAGCTTTTTAATTTGATGTAGTCCCACTTATTTTTGCTTTTGTTACTTTCACTTTTGGTGTGAAATTCAAAAAAATCATCACCAAAACCTATGTCAAGGAGGTTACTGCCTGTTTTGTGAGTTTCTATAACCCATTTTGGGTTTTTATATATGATGTAAGAGACAGTGTTCCTGATCCTTTTGCATGTGGCTGTCCAGTTTTCCCAGCACCATTTATTGAAGAACTGCCCTCCCCCCATTGTATATCCTTTGCCTTTTTTCAAAAATTACTTGACCATAAAATTGCACCACTTTTTATACTGTTTTGATACAAAAATATTTCTCACAATAAAAGGCATATACCCTCTATAATGGTATGTATACTTTGAAGATAATTTTGTCAGATAAATCAGTAATAGAAATGATAATTACCTTCAAACAATTTTAGTCTTGAGTAATTTAAATTATCATCACTCTTTTGTCATCCATCATTCAGAATTTTAGTTTCCAAAGCTAAAGATTCATGAATGAAACATTTAACCTAGTCTATAATTGCTTCTGATAATAAATGGTGATGGAAGAAAAGAGTATCATGGAAGGAGGGGTAAAAGAATAAGGTGGTTTCACATACATACTGATTTCTGTGGAGGGTAAGACAACCAATGATGGATCCTGGACAGAGGAGAGCTAATCTTGGAGAGCTGGAGAGGCAGAAGTAGATAGAAATGAAAATATGACCATCAGGAAAATAAAGGGGTACTGAAGATAAGGCGAAAAAAAGAAATAAGAGCAAATTGAACTAATGACCATTCTAGAGAAGTCACTGTCTTGAACAATCAGTTTAAAATAACATCAGTACAATTTTATTTAACC